CACATCCTTTTCAAGAAAACAAATCGAAGGAGGGCATTGATATCGCTAGGACAGAAGTCAGCATGAGGAGTGTCTGGATGTATCATTTTGGAGACAATGGAGTGCGACTGACACAGCAAGCATAAAGACAGACCTTCCTCAAAGCTGAGCGCTCACAGTCCTGATCTTAGGATGTCCAGTCCAGTTACTTGCGCTTTCAGGGGAGCTAACAAAGAAACCATCATCAAATGAAGGCAGCCAGGAATTTACAGACAAACACCTCTTAAGACGAACCCATTCTTGCCAAGTTAAACAATAACCAAATGTGTTTATTTTAAATATGGAGGGAAAGCATGAGAAATCATCCCCATGTTTCTACTTCTCTTATGAGATCACTCTGGCACCTGCTTTCAGAAGGAAGCAAAGTGACTGCTCCAAAGGCCTTAGAAATAAGTCACACAGCAGACCCATAGAATGGCAGATGTCCTTAACAGCACTCTGGCCTCAGAGTCAGCCCTTAAGGCACGCAGATCTGGCTGAAAAGCCCATGAGGGTATTACAGGCATGGAAAGCCAAAACACTCTGGAAAAAAACAAAACAAAACAAAACAAAAACCCTACATGAAAGATCTCTGCGAGTGAGATCCCAGTGAAAAGAATGGGTCATCAAAGAAGGAGGTACCTTTCTCTGAAGGGAGGAGAGAACTTCCACTTTGACCATGGCCTTATCTAAATATAATCAGAGTTGGTGAACTCAGGGGGCTTCCATAGCCTTGGCAGCTCATGACAAGAGCCTAGGGTGATTATTGATGCCATAAACAAGAGTGTCAATTTGTTAAGTCAACAACAGGAGTCACTGTGCACTTACTCCTCATGTAGGATCTCTGTCCTTAATGTGCTGTACATTGTGATTTAATACTATAACTGTCACTCCCCCTCTTCGTGGAGGAACGACACAGGACCCTGCGCTGTTCTTTTGTCTGCTCGGCCCTCCCCGGGTTTGCTGCTGGTTCTTCCCGGGTTGGCTACTATCCCTTCCACCTCCGTGGAAGGGCAGTTCCCCCTGGCCACATTCCCCACTTCCGCAGGGGAGCAGCACACCGCCGGCCGGCTTTCTCGGGGGCTGCACAGGTGCTCCTTCAGCTAGATGTTCCCCTTAGATGTTCCTGGTGCATGCCGTCTCTCTCCTCCTTTATAGTCCTCCTCTGCCAATCCCAACTCGGCTGCCCACACGCCGAGTACGCTGCTCTCCAATCAGGAGCAAGTCCTACAGTTTATTGGTTGAACTGGAGGCAGCTGTGCGGAAGCTGTTTACTTCTCTCCCAGCGCCATATTGGGGGAGAGCAGATGCATAGAATAAGTCTTAATTCCAGTAACTCAGTCCAGTCCGGGCTGCTCCCCACAATAACTAGGACTCAAACAGTATTTTTCACTTTGTGTTTCTATGTGGGTGCAAACTGTTGAAATCTTTACTTAATATATGCTAAACTGATCTTTCTGTTTATAAAGAGAATTGAAAATGAATCTTGATGTGAATGGAAAGGGGG